CTCTCTGGTTTTTATTGTTTCACCAATTAATTCAGTGAAAAATTTTCGAACGTAATTATTAAATATTTTCACTTTTAATAACTAAAATATAAAATGGTCTATAAATATAGATGATATAATCAAATAAATATTAATATATATATATATATATTATATATATATATATATATATATATGACTTAAACGTAAAAACGGGATACAGACATCAACCAAACTGACAAATAAAAGTTGATATCTGATATCTCATGGCTTACTGTCATTAGTATATAATTATTTTTAGATGGGCGTATCATTGATGTTTTCGAAAAAGGTAAAATGGAGATGCGTTATGACTTTAAGAGCTATTTATGATGTTATATTATTATTATTTAAATCAGATTGAAATATATTTTATTTCGGTTTTGGGTATCTTTTTTGTCATTTATTGCATTGGTATTTCTTTTTATTTCTATTGACTCGTATATCTCGATGAGAAATTTGAAAACGTTTTCTCAATGATCGAATAATATTCTAAAAAAAATTATGAAAGCTTCGATAAAACGTCTGCAATTATTAAAGAAGCAGCTAGACAAAACGACGAGAAATTCGAAAATGGGTCTAGAAGATTCGACATAGAACAGCCCCAATAATAACTGTTAACATTACGTCCTCCGGTGGAATTTATAGCTTGTACATCGAGGATCGTATCAATAATATATGTAGATCATTTTTGGTAGATCCAGGTGCAACAAGAACTATTGCACATCCAGAAGTAGTACAAGGCCATCTTAAATTATCGCTTGGAACAGTAAGGCTTAGAAAAGCAACTGGTAAGCTGATTATAACATATGGCGAGACTAATATGTCAGTATTCATTGGCCAGACTACAGTGAAACATAGAGTATTAATTGCAAAGATCTCCGACTAGTTCATATTGGAGATGGATTTACTAAGAAAAGTTGGGGCTGTATTGATTGTCAAAAATGGATTTCTCGATATGTGGTGAAGAGTTGCCATTTCGTAAAGACAAAGAAGATGTAATCAGTTTAATAACTACTTGTGACGTAACAATACCCGGTAATAGTGAGAAAATTGTGATGACCAAACCTGATGGTTACTGCCGAGAGAGAAGATTTAGGATGGTCGAAGATGTGAACAATGTCGAGTTCCTAACGGCAAAAGCTTTGGTAAAAATTCGAGATGTCGTTCCTGTAAGAGGAATGAATTTAAAGGAAACTGCTATTAAGTTAATTAAAAAAACTTTGATCGGACAGTGTGTTCCCGTGGCTAAGAACACTAATGTGAAATCATCAAAATCTAAGTATCCAAGAGAGCTTGTTGAGATGGTTTTTAAAACGTACCAAGATCTTGCTGATGATCGAACTAAAAAGTGAAGTCTATGCTGATATAATTTCAAGATGTTTTTGCCATTGATAAGAAGGATAATGCAAAACAAGCATAGTAACGCATAAAATTTATGCCGGCGATGCTCAGTCAATCAGACAACAACCTTGATGACATCCATTTGTGAAAAGAGAGAAAGCAGAAGATATCATCTAAGATATGACCAAACAAGGTGTAATTAAATCATCGAACAGTCCCTGGACATCACCAGTAGTTCTGATAAAAAAAAAGATGGTTCAACGCGTTTTTGTATTGAGTACCTCTAGCTCAATGCGGTAACTAAGGAAGATAGTTATCCTTCGCCCAGAATCGACGATACATTGGATACTCTCCTGGGAGGGACCGTATGAAATTATAAAGAAAATAAATGATCAAATAGATGATAAATCAAAGAGTGCTAGATTCGGCGTGACCACAGAAGTTTAGCAGGATCTTTTTAGTGTTCCACATAACATCTCTCTAGCCCACTGTGTTGCCCAAAATCTTGAGAAGACTAAAGAAATCTCATCCGTATTTTTTAAGAAGTTCGGTCGTTTGGACGAGTTTAAAAATCAACAGCTTAAACAGAAAGGGCAACCTTCGAGGGTATATGGAGTTTTATTTATATTTTCTACTAATTTTAGAAAAATCGTGTGCAATTATGACATCAATAATTTGGTCTTACCCAAGATAGTCCATGCATTCGAAAATCTGGATTGGAAGATTGTCAGAAGCATGCTCGAAGTGATCTTTCGAGAAACCGGCGTACGAAGAGATCGTGTACTTCAAAGACAGTAGACTGTTATTTCTTTCTGAGGGGTTCACGCAGAGCTAGGAGTCCTGTAGATTTCGCCATCTTGGGCCTACATATAGAGTTGCTGATCGTTACGTTCAGATCTAAGAGGGAAGCAGTGTTACGAATATCCATTCGACCTAGCCGATATAAGAATATTCTAGTACCTAATGTACTTATAAGTATACAACGTAGATGCAAGGTGGAGAACATCAACAACTGGGTAAGAAATAGAAGAGTAGAATGGAACAATCATATAAGTCGAATGATATCAAATAGAGTAGTAAAGACGGCAATAGACGGTTTCCCAATAGCCCAATAGAAGACCATGAAAACGATGGAACGACAAAAAATAAAACTTACTGGGACGGAACATTGAAAAACAGACAGTCATGTCTATAATAAAAGAAAATGAGATATATATATATAAATATATATTTATATAATTATATATATATATATATATATATTTTTAGATATATATATATAGATATTATATATATTATGTATATATATATATTATAATATTTATATTATTATATATATATATATATTGTTATGGATCAGTTTATCGATCAGAATAGATTAAAGAGTTTTTTATTATTTTAATATACGCGGGCTATAAGTTAAAATACAACCCTGTACTTATTTGAATAGTTAGAATAAGAGGAAAAACATTGTTCGTGACGGGACCCTAACGAGTTTTTCCGGAAAGACTGAGTGAATAGTGAGAAGGGACAATGGAAATCAGCTATAATTATAGATTTTGGAATATCTGTATAATTACAAATAAACTTGTAATTTTTTTTTTGCGGTGGGGCATTTTTCGAAAGTAAAATAAGATTAGATATTAGATAAGAGATAACAAGAATTGGAAACTTATTTTTGTTGAATAAAGGCAAAATTGTTAATGGTTTCTGAAAAGTAATTTGAGTGAAAAGTAGTTTATTTTGTTTTAAATCTCATGTTGGATAATTTTCTAAATCGAAAATTAAGTGGAAAAAAACATGTATGCTTATGATTGAGTTAAAAAAGAATGGTGGGATGAGAGAGTTGAGAAGGTTGTCTGGGAGAGATTGAAAGATTATTATGGTTACGGCAGACCAGAAGAGAAGACGTTGTTTTCGGTGTAGTCAATCTGAGTACCAGTGTTTTCGTTTGGTAGTGAAAATAGGTGGAAGCTGAGAGCCAGACAAAATCGAGAAGATTAATACTTTTTGAGTCTGCATAGTCACGAGATATATTGAGAAAGAAAGGAGAATTTGTTATATAAATAGTACCGGTCAAAGTGGCTTGGGCTTGTGTTTTCGGAGGAGTAGTTTGATGGTATGCGGTTGGATCGATGGTGAGAACGGGAAAAGTATTTGTGGTAGCCGGATATAATCAGTCAAGGAGGACTTGTGGTTTGATCGAGAGGAGACATCATTGGTGTAAAAATAAAGCGTCAGTCAAATAATTTGAATGAAAGAAAAATTTTAAGTATATTCTAAAGATATAATCAAATTTAAAAGCATACGAAATAAGGGTTTCCTAGTTTCAAAGAGGTTATTTTTTTGTGGATTAAATTTATTTTTATATGGTCATTTTTTTAGTAGATATTATTAAAAAACAGATCAATAGATGTTTGTAATTAAAATTAAATTTAGAGTTATAGGATGTTTGTGCGAAAGATTATTGCCCCAAAAGTTATTTATAATAATAATTTATAATACAATCGTATTCTTATTGAAAATAACTAATAATTTGTGTGCGTTTTTATGTTGTTTTAATGTTAGTTTTCGTTTCTGTTCTATCCCGTTTATGAGCAACTAGGAGATACTGAACCCACAGAAGAGATATATAAAGTAACTGGTTTAAAAGTAATAATTTTAATAAAATATGCACATCTGAGAATTTATAATAGTAATTGAATTGTATGACTCTGCATTAATTAGTGAATTAATTACTTAAATAAATTGGATTAATATACAAATTAGTGTTAATTAATAATAAAACATCATATAAGCAGATCACAACAATATATATATATTTATATATATTATATATATATAATATATATATATATATATATAAGTATATATTTATATATATATATATAGTGTGTATATAGTTAAGAAACATACATTTATGATCTACCATTTTAAAATCAATTAGCTCCAAACTACTTTTCCTTGATTTATTTAGTTTAAACTGGATTTATTTTTGTTATTTCATCCTATATCATAATAGCATCCTTTGTCCGTTTTTTTTTTTCGTTTGAAATATTTAATAGTTAAATTTTAGATAGTAATCCGTATTTAAAGTCACATCAACATCCAGAGTTAATATCTTATTGTACAAGTAACTCTACCTTTTCCCAATCATTTTTTTAACTGTCACTGGTCTTTCCTATAACACACTTTATACATATGTTTCATTATTCCTAGAAACTTATGAAATTTATCCAATCTTAGAAAACTAAGTCTTTCAATTAATTTCTAGTTTACTTTCTATGCAGATCTAAGTCACGTAATTAATTTTATTACTGCTAACTCTAGCCAACATTATTTTCAAATCTCTTCAAATCTTTTTCTTTTATTCTTTTTATTTTTTTATACATTTCTAGGTTTCTTGCCTCCATCAATAATTCGTAGATATAAATGTATATTGAAAAAAATTTATAAAAATGATACCGGAGAAAAGGCAAAATTAAGAAAATATTCAACCAAGGAAATAACTGTTTCCTTTATTTTATATGATAGATTAAGTGAGAAAAATTTAAAAAGTGTATAAAAACCATATCCCGCCTAATCAAACTAAAGAAATATCGAGGAATAATCGTGATTAATTAGAAAGAAAAACGTACCTCAAATATTTTTGGCAAAGTCGAATATCCAAAAAACTTCACACCTTTCCAGAAACCAGAGAAATCGGTTGCTTCTTTTCCCATGAGATAGAATTCATTTTCTGGGTTTCTTAAAGAATCAACCTGTAATCCAAAAGCTGTGGTGGCAATAACGTCATTAGTGAAACGAGTAAATGTATCTTTCATTTCAATTTCTATAGTATTCTTGTTATTTTCCATAAAGAATTTGACCAAATTCTCGCCACATTCGGACATCAGCAAAAACATCGATTTCATTTTACTGCTTGTGAACGATGGGCTAAGAATTGGTCGCATGTCCTTCCATCTTTGCCCTAGAAAGGCAAAAGAATTTATGTAATTGTATATAAATGTAGACATTGACATAATAAGGTAATAAATTACCAAATTCGCGTATGATTTTAAAATAACCAAAAATTATAAAAAGGAATTATTAAACAAAGACTTTCCTTGCCGACCTGTTGTACTAATAATGTGTATACGTTGAGTTTTCATACTCATAAGCCATGAATTACGCATAAAATATTACATAGAGGTAGTCGGATAAGTCCTGAAGATATCGTATACCGACCACGTTACTAATGAGGGTGTTCTGTTGAGAATGAAAAAAGAAAAAGAGCTGGTAACCACAATAAAAACAGCCAAAATCGAATACCTCGGTCACATCATGAGGAACAGCGAAAGATATGGACTGCTGCAACTAATCTTGCAGGGAAAAGTAGAAGGAAAACGGGGACCAGAAAGGCGAAGGATTTCCTGGCTGAAAAATCTACGAACGTGGTTCAACACAACAACCACAAATCTTTTTAGAGCAGCAGTGTGCAAAGTGCAGATTGCCATGATGGTCGCCAACATCCGAAACGGATAGGCACTACAAGAAGAAGAAGAAGCTAGATAAGTACTTAACCTCACGACCCGATGGCGTCACTATCTCAAAAAAAGTCTACTATCTTGTAATGCATTCTCATAGACGGGTAATTTCAAAATTTCAGCCGAATCGGACTTATAATTTTGTTTCGATCGCGTGTGAAAGGGTGTGTGACCACGGATTTTAGAAAAATGAGCAATATCGGTCGGTGATTTGATTCTTATTTTTGCAAGTTTCAGCGGAGTTTCAACTTGGTGGCACGTCCCTTTTTGAAGTGCCCTGAAATCGGCTACCACGAGTAATGTGACACAAATCCTCGATATCATATTGGCACACCTGAAGATATGCGAAATAGCTAAGACAGTAAGCATATCTACAGACAATGTATGTTATATCCTGCGTGAAATTTTGGGTATGAGAAAGCTTTCGGCGTGATAATAGGTGCGTTTGCTCACTCCGGACAACAAGCTTAACCGCGAGATCACTTCAGAGCAATATTTGACGCTATTTGAGCATAACTTGAAGAAGTTTCTACGTTGTTTTGTAACCATTGACCAAACATAAACCATTGGTATACACCAGGGATAAAGAAAGAGTCAAAACAGTGGCAGCACCAGACGAACGTGCTCGGAAAAAGTAGAATACTGTCCTATCGGTCGGAAAGGTGATGGCCACCATTTTTTGAGATCTAGATCGACGTCTACTGTCTGAAAAAATGGCAAAACGGTTATAGAGTTTTACTACGCCGAATTATTGGGCCAATTCGATGTCGAATTGCAAAAAAACGACCTCATTTACCGAAGAAACAAGTGCTCTTCCACCATGACAATGGACCCGTTTATTTCTCTACCGTCGCGTGTAAATTTTTCAAACGTCTTTTCAAACAGTTGAAGAAGTTAGAGCACCGCTGGGTCAAGTGTATCGAACTAAAAGTAGACTATGTTAAAAACTAAATATCTTGCTAATTTTTCAACATTTTCGATTTTTTTTGTATACTAAATACTTGTCGGACCGCCCTAGTATTTATTCCTGATATTTTAGGCTTAATTCTGGAAATCTACCGGATATTCACGAAACAGAAAGTTTAGAATATTTGAAAAGTGATGACCATAAATAAGGATGGACAGCAGATGCTAGTGTGCAAAATGAATTATACAAGATAATCCAATGGAAATCTTAATTGTAACACCAAGAAAAATGTATATACCAAGTTTCAATAGTATAGATACTAGAAAAACTAGATTTCAATACCAGAAAAAGAAGACCTGTTGATCTCGAATTTAAGAGTATCCTTTTATTAAAAAAGAAAAACCTATATGCCTAATTTAAATATTATAGGATTTAAAAAAAAATAGTTAAAAGGATATATAAAAATGTTAAGACTATACGACCCTCCTTCTAGAAAAAAAAGTATAAGTATATCAGAAGAGCAAGAGTATATGTTGACCCAAAGTGCAATAGAGTTCACTCTTATACTAAGACAACCTGTTCTTCAAGAAAGAAAAAAAAAACATGACAACATGAGAAGACGAGGATGTATTTAGTCAAATTTAATAAGGTTCTTGCTTATCTTAAGGGAAACTTATGTATTAAGTTTCAAAACTAGAAAGATTTATCGCACAAGCAAACGGGTGATTAATCACTTCAAAAGGACCAGTCTGATCCTGTATTAGGTGTTCAGACACTGTAGTTTCAAATAAAAAATGAAAAATTTTCAGTCTTTTTTCGCATATCACCAAAATTTATTAAAATTGAAAGAGTTATGGTGTACAAACATGTTACCCATATAATTATTCCAATCAGTTACTTACCCGTAAGGGCGAACAAATTTTTACTCCATAAGGGATCAGCCTTTTCCGGGAGGAAAGGGAAATGGTCCATAAAGTAATCAAAATCTTTTACCCCGATTTGTTTAATTAGGTTTACATCTCTTATTAGAAGTGTTGGGAAAGTAAACTGATATATTCCAAATACCTAGAAAAAACCAAAATTTAGAATATATATATATTATATATATATATATATATACATATATATATTATATATATATATATACATATATATATATATATATATACATATATATACATATATATATATATATATATTATATATATATATATATATATATATATATATATTATAGTTGATATAATATAATAATATGTATTAAAATGTAGTAAAATATTGCCAAAAATATAATCAAATATCATTGTTTAAAAAATTGTGTGTACATATCTTTAACAATTTGATTTAAATCATAAGTATTTTTGGAACACCACTGCTTTGTTTGGTGAGGCTTTACTGTTCCTAGAAATTTTCGCCACTACAGTTGAAACATACTCTAGTATTAGCCTAATCAAAAGCCAAGAAAAACGAAAAGTTTGGAATTAATACAAATATGGTAACTCTTCCGTTTCGATAAAAAATGGTAAGCAAATTTTCACAAAACAAAATATATTAAAAATTCAATGCACATTAAAGAGAAAAATAATAACATTTTTTTATCGGATCGGAAGGGTTACAATATTTATAATAAAATTATATTCGGTATCGGTAACTTGAGAAACATTTTTTTTTCTTTTAGGATACAATTTTTTTGTTTCCAGTATTAATTTTTTTTATTTAGCAGTATATTTACATATTTATGCAACAATCATTAATGAACTGATGTAGTATAAAAATATATGTATTGAATTAAATTAAAGTATGGATGAAATGTTAAAATTATACACTCCATTTACGTACCTTGCTTCAGGTGCTGTGTTGTATGCCTTAACAACCATATCTGTGAAAGACTGCTTTTGAAGAATCACTCCCAAGTTATCTCCAGGTATCCAAGATTGATTGGTCTGTTTTACACCTCTTTCCTTCCAGTAGCTTCCACGCTTAAAGATGTAGTGGTAAAATAAAGCTCCTATGACCACAGCTACTAATATTAATTGCAACATGTTGGTTGTGACTAAAAAATATTTAAAAGGTGATGGATTCCACCGTTACAGAATGGAAATCTATTTTATATAACAATAAAACACTAAAAACTTTGTTTTCAAAATTCCATAAAATTTATTATATTATTTTATTACTACAGTGTTTCGGCAGAGTGCCTTTCTCAAGTGATCTAGTTTTATGTGTTTACAATATATAATCTTTAACGAAATAGGTTGAGTAGGGGAAAACTGTTTGTCTCAAGTTGGTCATTTAGAATAATGTCTGTGTTTTTTAATTAGTTAATTTCCATCGATACTAATAAAGATAGCTTAAGGTCTTTATTGTGGATGTGATAAATTTGATTTCGTCATTAAAAGAATAATTATGATCTAGAAGGTGAAGTGCGTATGTAGAATTTGTTTTCCTATTATTGAAAGCCCTTTTGTATTGCTATACGTTTGTTAAAATCTGCTTACATCAGTCAAACGGGTAGAACTTTAACAATTGTATACTAGAACATAAAAGCACCTTCAATAATAGGAAAACAGATTCTACATACGCACTTCACCTTCTAGATCATAATCATTTTTTTAATGACGAATTTCAAAGTCTTCACATACAAAATAAAGGCCTTATGCTATTTTTATTAGAATCTATGAAATTAACAAATTAAAAACACAGACAGAATTCTGAATGACCAACTTGAGACAAACAGTTCTCCCTACATTAACCTATTTGGTTAAAGACTATAAAGTGTAAAAAATCCAAAAATAGATCACTTGAGAAAGGCACTCTGTGAAACAGCTGTAGTGATAAAGTATTATAATAAATTTTGTGGAAGTTTTAAAAACAAAGTTTTCAGCGTTTTATTGTTATTTAAAAGGTATTTAGTGTACCAGTCATTCCACTGTTCCATACGTGCCAGTTGCGGACAGAACAATGGTAGGGATACCTCCTATAGAGGTATTGCCGTATATTACAGTCATATTGGAAAATATCTATATATAATAGGTTAAAGATTATTTTCACAATTTTTATTTCAGAATTATTTGAAAACGATCTATGGATAAAAATCGATAATATTTAAAAAAATGTTTAATCTAAAAGATATCTGTATATATAATAAAATATGATGAACTAATGAAAATATTAAATTTACCTTATACCGCTGTATAATAAACAATCAAACTTCGCTGTTTGGAGATCATTTAAACAGAATACATAAAAATAAAAAGAGCTGTGCGAGAGGCATTTGTACTGTCTTCCATTGAATAACGATGCTACAATCAAACAGAAGATATAGTACTGATTAACAATCCCTGGTCATTAGGTGGCGCCGCTTATTTTTATATAAATTATCGGCGGTATCCCGTTTTTACAGACTATCCTGTTTTAGCCAATTCTCCCCGATATATATATATATATATATATATATATATATATATATATATTATATATATATATACATATATATATATATATATATATATATTATATATATATATATTATATATATATATATATATATATATATTGTTATGCTATTTAAATTGTATTATATTGCTTATTTAGAAAAAATCCTGTCTATATTTATTAAATGATCTAATCTCCAATTAATCACAATAAATCAGCATTAATTAATTACAATCTCAGGCTATTTAACTTGTACTATTTACCTTTGATCGTGGATTCAAAATATTTTCCAATTGGCTTCCTAATTGGGATAGGTAATATGACCTGAATAAAATACATAGAATTTCAACTGAACTATATGTGAGATGTCCTTTATTTTAATGAAATTTTATATAACAATCAATCCTGTAATATTTGCAATATACTAACTTTAAATATATGAGAAGTTGTTTTCTATCATGGACCCAAATGTTATTTTACATTGATTTTTAATATGTGTTATAATTAAGCTCTCTTTATAATTTTTTTTTAAATGATCGCAAAATTAACTGTCTCTATTATTTATTCAATTTATTTAATTAATAAATGAAAACCACACTCCTGCTCTAATGAAAATTGACTGACCTTTCTTTCTTGCCGTGCAATTCTATGGCCACGCCAAAAAAACCTTCTCTGCTTCTGCTCTATTGTGGTCCAGATGACGTACACCTTTCTCCTATCTGTCCTTGTATCTGCAACCCAACAACTCGTGTTATTCTATGCAGCCTCCTTTTGAGCCAATCTCCGCGCCTGTTTATAACTCCAAATGTTTCCGGCTTCGTCTGATATTAATATTCTTATACCCTTTGGTTTTTCTATCTCTCTGTACCCCGTTCCTCACACTGGTCAGCTTTTACACAGCAAATAAACACACCCGGTAAATTACGTCTTCGGGACTTCAAACAAACACAAATCACAAAGCTCCTTCCTTCTTGGCGACGAAAACTGACTAACTAACTTTTTTCCTCTCTCCTATCTCATAGCCAAAACCACCACCTCCTTGCATTCAAAAATTGACCAATAAAATCATCCACCTCTGTGACGTATATCGTTACCAACCAACTCTCTCTATAAAACGTCATTCGGGTAATTCCAGAAAACAACATTCTTTAATTATTCTAACTAAATCTATCTGCTTTACAAATATTTCTTACTAATAGCTACAAACGATACCTGTTTCTCAATTCAATGTCTTTTGTTAATAAACTTTTACCGATATAATCTTTCGGGGAGAAAAACCACCGCAAATCCCGGTCTATTGTTTAAACACTTTCTATATACACTTTTATTCCGGGTAAATCCATTCCACAATAACCGACTTATTTAAATTTCTTATCGATAATATTTGAAAGTCTTGTCTCTGAGGCCTAATGAACAATTCTTCGAACAACTTAAAATACATATTTTGTCTTATACAGGATGTTTGAAAATTTATATGCCCGTGTCTTTATGAAATATCAATAATTTTAATTTTTATTTAAGTAATAAAATTTGTATATCGGTTTTTTATTGCTTATGGACATTCAAAAGTACAACAATATATATATATATATATATATATATATATATATATATATTATATATATATATATATATATATATATATATATATATATATATATATATATATTAATGTGATATTTAAAAACTTAATGCGCCAAGCAATTAATTAGCTAATTAATTAAAATTATTTAAATGATTATGATTCTATCACACTTTTTAATTCTCTTATCTCAGGGTTAAATTCGTGCTTCAATATCTATGCTATTACATGTGAAAGGTAAGGTCCAAAGAATACTGGAATAATAAAAAACATATAGGATCTAACGTTATATATTGAAATAAAAATAATGAAATAAAATTCACACTCAAATGTTTTCAATAAACAAAATCTCATATAATGATTCTCAAAATTTTGTTCTACGTACGTGAACCTTCAAAATTAATGGTACAAACAATATTAGTTGAAATCTCAAAATCCAAATATTATTCTAAATCTCCTAATCAAAATATTTATATCCTTTCTAAATTAAGTGTAAAAAATTGTGTTATCAATAAAAGAAAAACTGCAGAAAACAAAACTATCTCTCTCTGATGATGAGTGGTCCAAATCCTTGTTCCTTGTAGACTATACTATTTACTCGTAGCCGCTCCCTAGGTAATCAGCAATCTTACAACAAATTATTGCAAGTTTATCGTCCTTAATGATCTCCTTCAAATGCACGAATCGTTCAAATTATGCTAGCTTCTTCTTCTCTCAATAAACTGAATCTCTCGTTGGCCTGAGTGAAAACTGACTCTTGGAATATCTTTTCTTTACGATAAACTGAATCTCTCGTTGGCCTGAACAGTGACTCTTGGAATATAAGTAGAAAATATAACTTACAATCTTTTACTGGATCAGCTTCTGTCAGATACACTAACTACACGAAAACTCACAAACTTTCACTGCTACTGCTTCCTACCTCTGGGAAACTACCCGAGAACAACGGCCGTTCGCCTTCTACCCTTGGAAACCAACTGACTATCTTTTCTTTCTTCCGAAACTAACTAACGTCTCATTCTCCAACCAATCATCCCACCTTTTTCAA